AAACACACAAACAATAAATAAACACAAACAATAAATAAAAACACAAACAATAAATAAACACACAACATGACACTGAAAGTGTCTCTAAGGTTGTTGTGGATCAGTCGGTGAGTTGTTTCCTTACCGTTCACCACCCGGTGGCACTGGGCCATTTTAATGTCGATCAGCTCCTGAAACACACAGCACAGAGTTACCAGCACTGATTTCACCCCCCTGACTTCACCTCCATGTGTCAGAGCCTCCATCCTCACCTCACAGTAAACCACATCAGCTCCATAGTCCAGAGCCAGCAGCCTCATGGGCAGAGTCCCCACCCGGACCATGGGAGCCAGGGCGGTGATGTTACTGAAGCTCAGCCTGTTTGCTGCCATCATGGCTGCTCAGTGGTCCTGTGTGCAGACAGCAGTTATCTTAAGAACCGGGTTTTATTATTATCTACGGTTATTGGTTTGTTTTCTTGCGCAGAAATATCACGCCAAACTCCAGTCAAAAATTGGTCAATTTAACGCGGTTTCTGATTTAGTCCTAAAGCGCAGTAAACAAACAATAAATTAAGAATTTATTTTAAATGGTATCTTATAATCTTCAACCCGGCATTCATTAAAACCTCCATTGTCCCACATATAACCGATAATATTCCTTTTTAATGCAGCTTTCATCTCTAACTTCTCCCACAGGTCTGCAAGTTAAAGCCGTCTCGAGCGTTCAGAGCTACAAATAAATTAAGATTTTAATAAAATTTAATAATAATTAGCAAATAAAATGAGTGCCGAATTATCCAAAGAGTGATACAGATCTATAATAACGTTAAATTAAAGCTCTGTCAGGTCTGTCCGGTTACCGACAACCGAGCAACTTTTAAACTGACACTTTTCTAAACGCGGTTCGGCGGAACAAATCGATCAGCGCTATGCTAAGCTAACATTGTAGCTGCTCAATCAGCGCCGTTCCACCGGAAGCTGAAACATTAACACGGTGGCTTATATCTGCGCAGAGGGTAATCGATATATCGGTAATATTAAATCAACTCACCGGCATTTACGTTGTCCGCTGACGACAGCAGCTGTAACGCGCAGTCACGTGGGGGAAAGACTGAAGCGTGCTGTTTAAACTTCCTGTTTAGGCCTCCACGTCATCGTGACGTTATCGATCACTAATCATGTCGATCAGCACTCTGCAGAAGATTTCTATCGATTGGTCTTTTTTTTTTTTTCTTTTGTTGGAAAGATATCTGTGCTTTTATATGAAAATGTAAAGTTTGTTTTCACTTTTCTACCAAAATAAATCAGTTATATATATTTTATTTTGAAAGTGAAATCAATACTTTATTACTTTATTACTTTATTACTTTACTATATTTTGTAAACAAAAGAAAGAAACCACACTTTATGTTTATTTACTTTTTATAATTGATTTAACTCATCCCCTGCTCATTGTCTATGTTTACCTGTTTGTAAATAAAGTTATAAAAGATACACTTTATTTTGTTAATAAATGTGAATGTTGTAAAAATGAAGATAATTAAACATCTATTATCTGATTAGAAGCCAAGGATGTAATACTACACTGTGAATGGTCTACTTATTAATTTTACACTGTAAATTATAACAACATATCGTAATAAAAGCAATAAATTAATATAAATTAATCCTCCAAAACGTTTGAGTCACTCACATGAATTACATCTACACTGTCAAAGATCTGTCAATTAAAAGGGTTTTTCCTGTTTATTTTACAGATTTTAACTTTTTTAAATACATGGAACTATTAATAAAATTACAAAAATAGACAAATAAATGTAAAATAATGTGAAAAATGTAACATCTGTTTGAGTTATCTTGTTTTTCAGCCTTCAGTTTCAATACTTTTTGTAGTTTTTGTAGTCAGCTCTTTTATTATCTTATTATCTCTTATGTAATGTTGTGTTCTTGTTTGTGCCTGTTTGTCAATAAAGTTGTGAGAGAACGTAGACCAGCACCACATAGAAGTGCGACATACAGAACAACAGAACAAGTTCTTCAAAAGGATAAACAACATCAGTCTCGCTCCAATTCATTCTGGATTTATTGTGCTCTATAGTTATTTACTCATTTTTACAAAAAGTGCTCTAAAATAGCTCCGAGTTAACGTTCCGTGTAATGATCCCGTTGTAAACACCGGATGCTTTACAAATAATTTACAGTGTGAAAGTGTCTGTGATCCTGTGCTGTGGGTTTCCTGATCTCCTGCACTTTTTACATGTTATTATCTAGTCTACAGAAATACTGATGTGTCTACGTAAGGCGATTAAAGACTTCTGTTATAATAATAACGATAATATTAACGGTAAAAGGCGAGTGGGTTTGCTGTAAATCCAAATTAAATTGATTTGTTTTGGGCTTTGTGTGACGGGAACCACCTTCTGTTGGAGGTTGTACGATAAAATGTTAAAGTACAGAAACACTTTCAGAGTCAGCTGGTCTCTACGTTCAAACAGAAGCAAGTGAAACAGAAAACAAGAGATATGTAAACAGTTATAAACGTGTGCTGTGTCCCAATTCAACACTGCATACTAATTCAAAGTGTGTTTATAAAGGAAAGTGTACAAAAAACCTCAGAAGAACACAATAAATGAGCCAATATAAACTTTATATATATAAATATATTGTATATTTATATATATGTATATCTTTAGAAAGATATTTTAAATCTCTCTGTGAAGTTTAATTGATCCTTTCTAACTTCCTCCTTTCCTGTACTTATATATGCTATATGCTAAGCTAACTTATATTGAAAAGACAACCACATTTAAAGTTAAAAGATAAAAGAAACATTTTATATATATAATTTTACTTCAATCGTTAGATAGCTTATTACCGAATGTTTTGCTAACATTAGATAACTTAAGATGTGAATATTTATATGTCACTTTTTACTTTTCAACAGCCTATCACTTATATTACTATTATTATTATTATTATATTATATTATTATGACTTATATAAATAAATGTAGCATATATAAATACAAGAAAGCCGCTAACTAAGTAGCTAATCTACATTAATTGTTAGCTACGTAGTTACATCTGATAACTAATGTTAGCTAACTAGATTTACAATTTACACCATCGGTTAGTTGGATATTTATATAATAACGTTTTATTAACATTAGTTAACTTAAGATGTGATTTTATATAAATATATATTTTATCTTTTAACCATCCTCAGAAACATATATTAGCTTAGCATATAGCATATCTAAGTACAGGAAATGAAGTTAGCATGTCAGTAACTGTTTGAAGTCTGATGGGGTAAATATATATTTCTTGTACATTAACTGCACCAGTATACTGTGAGGATGTTATACATTCGGTACACAGTTGCTTTCGAGCATTGGGACACAGCTTGAGGATATAGTCATAAACATGTAATCAGTTTAAACAGATTTAAACAGATTTAATGTAACAAAAGAAAAATGAACCGACTAAAAGTGTGATTTTACAAATATCACCAGTATTCTTCATCTTATGCTAACATGCAGCGTTGAGCAGATCAAACAGGACGTAACGTATGACGCACATTTTAGTTAATGAAACATTTTTTTAATTCTGTGTCTAATGGCTACACATTTCTACTACTGGAGAATGTAATAACCACTAAATTATAAGTCAGTGATAATAATTATAATATTTTTTGTCTGCCGACTCCTGGAGGTTATTGACAGTTGGGTTCGTATCATTTTATAGAGTCAACTGCAACAGCAGAAGTTATTGATTTGATACCAAGAAGAAGTTAATGGACAATATTTATAAAAAAAGGGCCAGTTTTGTCTCTGTCACACATTGAATGCTCATCATTTGATAAACAAAAGCTGCCACAACAGCATTACAATCTTACTTTGAGTTAATTTAACTCAAAAGAAATGTTCAAACAAAACAAACTTAATCTTATAAATAAAAAAAAAACATCCTCGATCACGTAGCTTTTTGTAATTTTAAGTGACTTAATTTAGTAATTTTTATTAAAATACCTAAAAGTGCTTAATCTCGAACATTTTTTCTGAGTTAAAACAACTGATCCCATTACAGTGTGCAGTCAGAGTGATGTGGGTTGATGTGAGAGAGCAGCAGCAGGTAAAACTACTTTGTTAACAACAGATTAAGAGTCCAGCTTCATGTCGAGTTCGTACTGAACGGTGAGATAACAGACGATGGAAGACCAAAGTGCGTCTCAAACAATCAAATGCAATACACAAAGGCACATGCACAATATATTAAATTGGTTAATAAACATTTTGAATATACATTTTCCCTCAGTAAAAGCCTTTTCACACCAAGTCTGACGTTTCCACCAGAATTTAAAAAAAAATTAATTCATATTGCTGATGTGGTTAATTTTAATACGTACATTGTTCATGTGAGTTTAATTCTAATTATACTGTTTCACATTAAAGCCCGACCGGTACATCAGTTTATCCAGCAGAGTGCGCTGCAATTTACAACAGATCGGTTTCACAGCAGTCACTCTGATACGACATTACAGTAGGGTAAACTCAGGTGTTATGAATTACACAACTTAAGGTTTCGTTCCAGGTCAAACGGAGTCAGATTGTTGTTACTGTGCTTGTTTCTCACTGGAAAAAGGCTCTGAGAACCTTAAATACTGTCACTGGTAACACCTGTGTTTACCCTACTCTTTCATCTCAAAATGGCTGCTGTGAAAAGGTCTTGTGTATACGGTGGCAAGCAGCAGAGATGATGAACTCCTCCACTTTTAATAAAGTTATTTGTTAAAGAAAGCAGCCTTCTGGCTACCTTCGCAACCTTTAAAATCAGTACAGTATCGGTCGGGCTCTAGTTCATATCTTAAGTTTAAAATACACGTCGTGTCCGATCAGCTGATGTTTTCACAAACAGGACGTGTTGTTATCCTGATAACTCAGTAAACCTGCCTTATGGAGGAGAATTACCAACAACGTGAAGTCTTTATGTAACATCCGGTCCGCTAGCTTCTGAGACTCAATGCAATCTCTCATTGAGAGTAACTTTTACTGGTTTCTGAAAAAGTGAAACGTGTTCTGTTTGCAGTCCATAAGATAAATCAGTACCAGTTTATATTAGAATTCAAACCCAAAGTTAGCAACAAATAACGAAACTACAGCTCCCATAAACTTGTTTCCGATTGACCAGAATACAAGATTGATAAAAACCAAAATATTAGGAAGAAAAAAAGGTGATACTAAAAGCAGTGAGGCAGCAGGAAAGAAGAATAAAAATACATGAAAGCAGATCTTCTCTAAAACAATTTGCACCTTTTTCTTGAATACTGACTATAGATTTGTTTGGGACTTGTTGTGAAAAGGCCTTAAGGCACGAACACCAGCAACAATCAGAAGAAACAACCGTCAGTCGGTCAGAGTTCGTCATGTTACAGAAAAAGAAACAAAAATGTGTCCAACATGGGAATAAAAGTCCTTTTCACAGTGACACTGGTGGCATTAGGTTGCTGTACTAGAAGACTTAGTTGAAGAGAGAAGAAAATAAAAAGTGCAAGCAGCCTGCACAGAAGAACAGGCGTTTCCAGTCGACTGTAGGGAGTCTCTGAGGGTCAAAGGTCAGACAGGAAGCTCCCAAAACAAGGAGGAGTCTGGACTTACACCAGCGACGGAGTAAAAACAAAGATCTGCATATATTCAGAAAAAAAGTTTTAAGAATTGGCAGACAAACTGCTCCTGCCTGAAGACCGGTCAGTCCATTCTGACGGAGTGGCGATCTCGATGGGGTCAAACTGAGGAAAGACCACGAAACACAACCTCTGGCCCACGTACGTCGCCCTCTCTGCGGGGAAAACACGAGCCGAGGGTTAAATATGAGCTGTAACGGACCTTTAATCAGACCTCCTTTAACTAAACTCACCAATGAAGGTGTAGATGCACTTTGGTTTTTCTTTCCAGTGGACGCCCAGGAAGTAGACGGGTACGCCGGTGAGCATGATGACCAAACCAACGCCGCAAACCACCGGCTCCGAGTAAAGACTGAAACCCAGCAGCAGCGCCCAGAACATCAGGTAGCAAACAGGAACCAACAGGTTCACCTGAAGAAAGCAAGTCGATTAATAATTCATGACTTATGGACAATGTCATGATATTACTTTTCCCATTAATTAGTAGTGTAACTAATTACTAATAAAACTGATTAAACTAGCTTAGAAGATGGAAACTCTTACACTCAGCAGCTGGAAATATTCCATTACTTTGATTTTAACAACCAAAACTGGATTTTAAATCGACTTAAGCCTGAATTTTGTGGAGAAAGGACACAATTACCAATTTTGTGTGGAGTAGCAGAAAAGTAATATAAGTAGTAGTGTAATCAATTACTTTTGACAGGGAGTGAAATGGACCAAAAACATGGCAGTACCCTTTAATCCATTTAAAAAAAGGTTTCAGTGCTGTTTTCTTAGCATTAAGCTGTTTTTTAACTTTCAGCTGTTTTTTAACTTTCAGCTGTTTTTTAACTTTCAGCTGTTTTATAAGCATTAAGCTAGCTAGCTTTACACACAGTTACCAGGCATCTAAGAGTACCTCACCAGCACTGCTGTACGCAGGGTTTTAGATATACCAAGGTCCAAAAACGTGTATAAACAACTTGCTAGAGGGGTTTGGGGCAAGTATTTTTTTAGACAAATATTTTTAATGAATTTTATTTTCAGAAAAAAAAGGAAGGTCCTGACTTCAGTGACCTCAGTGGTGGGGATGGCAATGCTCACCACGCAATAAGAAGTAAGGGTACTCATGTGGACAAATATCAGAACTGACAGTTTTACAATAAAAATGCTGAGTATTTTTCTCAATTAATGGATTTATTGTTTGATTTGTAAAAATTCTGAAAATTGTGAGAAATTCCGTCACAATTACCCAAAGTGACTTTTCAAAGAACTTCTTTTTGTCCAACTAACAGTCCAAACCTCAAAATTATTACAAATACATTGAAATTATTAAAATAATTAACAGGAAAAGCAGCAAATCTAAACATTTGTGAATCTGGAATCATAAAATATAACTTAAACAATTATCAGTCTCCAATTAATTTTCCATCAATTGACCAACTGGTTAATTGACTGATAGTTTTAGCTGTACTGCTGGGTTGTTTAATTTATAACAGAACAATAAGATTTAATTTGCTCTTTGTATGTTTTTGTAAGGCAAAAAGTAGAATGATGAATGAAAAGTACAAATATCCCAGATTTGTGCTGCTTGAGTAAATCCACCACCGGTAAACAGAAGTGTTGGTACCTTGATGGGTCGGTACAGGTTGGGTTTCTTCCAGCGGTAGTACAACAGGCCTGCGATGGTGACGCCGTACGACAGATAGTTGATGAAGGAGACGTAGTTGATCAGGTTGTGTGTTTCTCCGATGCAGAGTATAACGATGGTGGCAGAGCACTAGAAAACACAGCAACATAACAAAGCAATGAATGTTAAAGGATGTTTGTGTCAGTTCCCTTGAGGTGTTCCTGAGATATCGCGTTCACAAGCATGAGAGGGACCAGAAAACACAATAAATACCTAAAAATATATAAAAATATACACAGATTGGAGCATCTAACAGAAGCAAAACAAGAGAGAACCACATCAATGTGAGGTTGTACGTACGCAGACCAGCAGGGCAGGGATAGGGGTGCAGTTCTTATAGTGGATCATGGCCAGCAGGCTGGGCAGGTGACCTTCTCTGGCTCCAGAGAAACACAACCTGCAGGCAGTAACATCAGCCCGTCAGCAGCAGCGAAAACTAAAGCTGTGTGGGAAAGTACAAAGCAGCGAGCAGAGCGGCGAGTCTCACCTGGAGGAGGTGAACAGGTAGCCGTTGATCCCTCCGAACGTGGACAGAGCCACGGAGATCGGCATGATGACGGAGAACATTCCCAGCAGCTTCTCTCCAAATGTCTGAACAGCACAACAACAGACAGACTCACTGACGTGTACAGAACAACTGCAGGAAGACCAGGTGTGCTTCATCTGAACATGTTTCTACCTGACGATTCATTCCACGTCAAGAAACAAGGTGATCTAGAACCAGTGTCTTAAATATGGAGCCATTATTTAGCATAACTGTTTACAAATGTGAGTGAAGAGTTGTGTAACTGTATCTCACTCTGTGATTGAGATACAGTTACACAACTCTCCACTCACATTCTGTAAATAAAACCAAACTATATACAATACTTTTTAGACCGTGTACCACCTCAGGAAATATCAGGCTCTCCACCATCATGGCCGACGTTAAAATACAGCAGCGTAGACCGACACTATTCAGCTTCACACAGGAGGCAGGTTTATTCCTAGATTATTTATTGTTGACTGATCATGAACAGAACCAGAGCTTATTTGGCTCTGATTGGTTGTTTTCGTTCAAACCTGTCGGGTTGTGACCCCCACTAAGGGTCGCCAAAGTTTCATGGGAAATCGCAAGGTCTTCTTGATTTGAAGGCGGACTAGAAAACGTATATAAACAGCAGGCCTATTTCTCAGCATATTAATCATTTCTGTAAAGAAACTATTATTTTTAACATTTTAAGTAAATCTAACTCAATTTTGTAAGTTCAGAACGTTCTTTATCAGGTAACCTGTTGTAACTTGTAACTGCAGGAAAGATGGTGTTATAATCTTTGACCTCCTATTTGTTGCCTCTATTATTCCTGATCTAGAAATGTATTGTGAGCTAAAGGCCTAAAAGATGAAGCATAATGGAGCCACTGATCGTCATTGGAGCCACATTACTCACTACAGCCACAGCATTGGATGACAGCAGCTCCTCGGGCGACATGGAGGAGAAGTAGGCGATGTTGGTGAGCGTGTACACAAAGGTCACCAATGGTATGGAGATGTAGATGGCACGAGGTAGATTCCTGACCAGAGGCCACACACACCATGCACAGATGATAACAGTCAAAACCAAAAATTCAACATGCATGAAAAACACGAGAAATTAAAGAGAAAAAAGCACATAAGGAAACAGGTTCTCAATCATATAAAGTAGAAACTGCTGGCGACCAGTGAGACAAACTCCCACATTAAAACAACAAAAGAGAAAGTTAGATGAGGTGGTGAAGC